CGCCCGACCCCACGGCCCGGACTCCTTCCCCTCCTCCCCTCGGCCCCCCGCCCTGAAGAACGCCAGCAAGGACAGGTAAACCTTCCAGTCCAGCATCTGGAGAAGTGGGTCTCAGGGAGGTGACACCAGGCTGCCGGAGGTAGCTGAGTCCGCTCAGGCTGGGGAGAGCTTCAGAAGGGTTTCTCCAAACTGCACGATGGCAACAGCATGGGCCAGGCGTTGTAATGGTGACAAATGCCAAGTCCTGTGCACTGGAGCCAGTCCCCCCAGCTACACACACAAACCGTGGGCTCTAAATGAACTCGGCGCTGGAGAGTTCTCTGCAGCTGCAGCAGTCAGCAAATCAGCAGCATCAGACAATATCCTGCAGGCCCGTGTAAACCCACGGGACGTGCACAGCGTGAACGCTGCGTCCAGATGTGGTCTCCTCGTCTCAAAAGGTGTCTTGGCCCTGGCAAAGGGTTTGCAACGGCTGCCCTACGAGGGGAGACTAATAAGACCGGGAGTTTTCAGCGTGGAATAGAGAAGACGAAGGGGGGGGGTATGATAGACGCCTGTCATAGAGGTGACTGTTATGGGCAAGGTAAATAAGGAAGTGATGTTTACTCATCACATAGGAAGTAGGGGTCACCCAATGAAATCAATAGGCAGCAGGTTTCAAACAAAACGAGGTACTTCACTACACAGTGCAGTTAACCTGTGGAACTCCCTGCCAGAGGGTATTGTGAAGGCCAAGACTATAGCAGGGTTCAAAAAAGATCTAGATGGATTCATGGAGGACAGGTCCGTCAATGGCTATTAGCCAGGCTGGTGTCCCCGGGGTCTGCGTGTCAGAGGCTGGGGAGGGGCGGCGGGTGGGATCACATGAGGATTCCCTCCCTCGGGGGCAGACAGGGCCCTGGGCTGGACGGGCACCGTGGTCTGGCCAGCCGTGGCCCTTACGGGGTTCCAGCCTGGGCGTTACCGTTGTGCTTGGCTCCCTCGCAGACACGCCAGCCAAGGGCTTTTTCGAGGAGGTGACGGAGGACGAGGTGGTGGTGCTGCAGCAGATGTTCTTTGGCGTGGTGATCTGCGCGCTGGCCACGCTGGCTGCCAAGGGCGACATGGTCTTCACCGCCATCTTCATCGGCGCCGTGGCAGCCCTGGCCGGCCTCCCGGTCTCTGCGCGCGGCGCG